ACAAAATTCTTCTAAGATATGAAAAAATACACAACAGTAAACTAGGACGACTTGATAAAAAAATACATATTAACCGCGAATGTCATAATTAACAAATACCATAAAGATTACTTGGAAATAATGAATTAACTATTTTAGACAACCTCAAATAATAGAAACACATTAAGAAATTGATCAATATAAAATAAACAAAATTCATCTGACTAACGGGTTGGGAAGTTTATTCCTTAATATATGTTCCTCGTGATCTGAGGTCTACGTGTATGAAATTTGGGAATTTTTAGAGTTGATTTGCTTTGTATTTAAATGGAAAACCGTAGGTACAAAAATTAGGGCTGGGAAACGGTGCAGTCTGGTCCAGAGCCGATCATATATACAGTTTATGGTCCAGATCGAGAGGTTGAAGTATCGACCACAAAATAGACCACAGACTATACGGTTCGGTCCAGAACACGCCTGTGCGTAGGGATGGCAGTTTCTTCCTGACCCAATTTACCCGACCTGTTTGACCTGTTTTGGGGCGGGTCCGACCCGTCCCGTAGGCGGGGCGCGGCGGGAATGGGTATCTCTTATCAACCCGACCTGCCCTGACCCGCCCCATTCTCGACCCGTTCTGGTCTAAGTTACATGTAATCTTAGTCAAATTACTTAGGATTTTCCTCTTATTACATCATATTTTAGGTATAATAAAGTTGTAAATAAGTGAAAAACTCAATCTCTCCAATAATTTAACTACATTTTATCAAATTATAGTTTCATTCTTGGGCTTTTAATTAAAATAACGAATAATTCTAAGGTTTTCGCGTAAATTATATACCTGATGGGTCGACCTGCTCCTACCCGTGCCACATAATAAATTACCCGACCCGGACCTGACCTGCCACGGGGTGGGTATGGATATCGAGATACCCGCCCCGGACCTGCCCCATTGCCATTCCTTCCTATGCGGTCTTGTTTGGTCTGGTCTGGTCCAGATAGACCACACTCAACGAAAAATAAATAATTTGTTTAGTCAACCACACAAAAAATTGAACCAATGACCAAGAAAAATAATTGTTATTTTCCTTAAAACATTAATCCTAACATTCATGAATAATTTTGATACCCTAAATCTTAGTACATAACAAAGATACAAAGTAAAAGCATCCCAACTTGCACAATAATGTCATAAACATTAACATAATGTCATATGAAGACACGATAATCTCTACTCTCTGGTTAAATGTGGTTGTGAATGAAGGAGGGACGAGATTCACAAAACTAAGGTTGGGACTTGGATGTCGTTGTGGGAGATGGGAGAGTGGTCGAATGGGCTGTTAACACGTATTGACAAGTCGGTTGGGTCCACGGTCTTGTCCGATAAACCGCGATCTAGACCAGACCAGATGAAGAGATCAAAACATAAAATAATGCAGATCATGGACCAGACCAGACCATAACGGTCTACGGTCCGGACCAAACTGTGCGGTACGGTTTGGACCATTGTTTTTCTAACGGTCTGGTCTATTTTCCCTGCCCTAACAAAAACATAGCATTTGTTCAAACTTTGTTTATGGACAGCCAACTTGAAATGAGTGTCGAGTTCAAACGGCTAATTCAAATGGTCTGAAATTTTAATATGTTATAGCCCTTTGAATCTAGTTTTAGTAGAAATAAGAATATACTGATTTGGTCTAATGCCGAGGGAGAAATGACCAAAACGGTGAAGCAGGGTAAAGTGGTACGACCGTTCGAAAAGGGCCATATGACCATACGAGATTTCCATGGAAATCTCAAATTGTACGGCTTGGGGATCGATTTGTACGGTCGTAAAAATGCTGGGTAAGGTCGTACGACTTCCCTAGTGGCCTTATCGATATACATGAACACAACCATGATTATGTTGACTTTATATGTACTTGAATAACATTAAAATTTTGTATATAAAGGTAAGGAGCAAGCCGGGGGCTCATCCAAAGGCAACGGCATAGCCGAGTGAAGATAAAACTGTGAGTAGATTCTAATATTAGATCTTCTTCAATATAATAACAATATTCGGGTCATGAAGCGGCCCAAATATATATCGGGGTCATGAAGCGACTCTGGTATAATATGTGAATTTATGGGGAATGATATGGCTATGTGATATGGTTACTTTAGTGACCATAATTGTCTGTATTGTGTGTTAAATTATATAGGTTCTGAAATTCATGAAGCCAAGATGGCTTATTGGTGTAGATTCATCGTCTGCATTTGGTATGAAGTTGGAAATGCATGAATTGTGGATGAGATATGGAAAGACATTTTGTTGGGTTGACTTGTGTATGCTTCTGCAAATTTCTACTGTGCCTCTGGCAACTGACATTTTGTAGAATTATCATGATTATGTGATCTAATGATGAAAATGGTTGAGTGATCATGAAGTGGAATTAAATTATCATGTGTTGGTTTTGTTGATTTATTGTTTGGATTATGAGTTAGTTTTCGAACTTGCGAACCCGTCTTGTCTTCTTAGATTTGGAGTAAGCCATTAGACTTACTAATCCTGTTATGCTTGAATAACTCGGAGTAAGCTCCTCAACTTACATTCCATTCTGCTGTGACTGAGGGTGCAAAAGCACTATAAATGCTTCTGATCTTATAGTGTATAAGTGAGCCTACGGGTTAATGATTATTGACATGTGTCTAAATGAACTATTAATGAAAAGAGGTGAATACATAAGAATAAATAAAGGAGCTACATGATACCTCGATACAGTAATGTGTCCTGTTTGTATCGATAGGGGTAAACCCCACGATACTCCTGTTTGAGCGCTTGTGCTCCGCACCGTGCCGATTGGGTGACGACCCACGGTACTCCTGTTATGTTCAGTTAGCTGGGTTGAGGTAATCCCGCGGGGACTCCTGTTTTGTATCGGTTCGGGTTGCATCCCACGATACTCCTATTGGTGCGAGCACTCCTGTTTCGTGCCTTGTGCACTCCTGTTCGTACAGGAATGGGTTTTATCCCGCAATACTCCAGTTATCTGATGGTTATACGTGGTTACCCTGTAGCCTTCCACTACTGTACTACCCGGGGAGGATATCATTTAGCAAATCAGAATGTAAAATTGTATAAGCAAAATGTCTCTGTCCGTCATCTGTTTTATGTGTTTTGACTGAGATGAGATGTGAACATGTGTACTTGATTGATTCCGTGAAATGAAAAGTGAGATAAACAACTTAAGTCCTGTTATGTGCTAGGGTGTTTCTGCCCAAAACTGTTTTTGTATTGATGTCGATCTGAGCTTAGAATTTATTCACTGAGCAGCGACTCATCCTTTGTCACCATTTTCCCTCAGATCAAGAGCAGAAGTAAGGTGTGTAATGTAGATATCGGGACTCGGGACTAAAGCTTGAAGGGAAGCCATGAGGTGGCGGAGGACTCCGAACTCCTTAAATGTTTTATGTTGCGTTGATGTTGTAATATAGCAGACTTCCCCTGTTTTCTTTTTTGACTATGATGCAAATGTAGATTATGGTTTGAAGTTTGAAAAAAAAAAAACATATATAAAGCTTGGGCACGAGAATGTTTAAACTCTATGTATTTTACTGTTTCGTTTTGTAATGTAAAGCAAGGGTGTTACAAAAGTAGTAACTGCATATCCGCTGCGGAAAGCTATTTTTTGTTTGCCTGGTACGCTAATTGGCCGGCCTCGCATAAGTTTCTTCACCATCGCAAAACCAAAAGCTGACTGCTCTACAATAGTAGCAGGGAGGTCTCACGATTCCACCGTCGTTCGTCCATTCTCTATACCTTCCGTTCGACCGCTTCTTCTTCAATTCAGTTCAAGTGATTCGCTTCCCACCGCTTGGTCGTCTTGCGTTTCAATCTGCGGCTTCCTTGTCCAATAAGTCAAGGCATTACAGCAGTTTGGAATTTAACTGGCGACTCTCCTCGTCTGGATATTGTTTTGAGGTATGTTGATTTTCCCGTATCACTTTAGAAGAAGGGGAGTAGGGGTTTCTTGTGCATGACACTCTACTCTGAGGTGTTCTTTTGCAATCTACCAATCTCATTCACTCGAATCGAATGCATGCAAGAGGGTTGTCTATGTTGGAAATTTGATTTAACCGGTTTTGATTTAAACTAATCAGTTGGGTGCGGTTTGAATCAATTTACTTGATTTGCATGATACCATGAGTTTCATGGCCTACCTACGTTCGTTTTGCATGGCAGTTAATTACCCTTGGTAGTTATATTTGGATGGAAGTTAAATGTTGAAAATGAGACGATCGGGTTAACCGGACAAGCCAGACATACCGCCAATCCGGTTTTACTGGTGTGGAATGTGAGGATGGTGGAACTTGAATTTGCCATTCATAAATCAATACATTTTCCGGCAGAGCTACTAATTATTGGTGTCACAAAATATAACAAGTACTACTTTAAAGAATGATAAAAAGGTTTATCTTTGAAATAATATCATTGAATGGTGTTGTTAATTTTAAAGAATCACATATATTATTATTAAGTAATTTCTATCTCTGCCAAATGATAGTTTTTACTTGAATATATAATTATTTGTTATGCTATATTAGAATCAATATATAACTAATGATTTATTTCTTACTTTTTTTTGTTTGTTTATGAGACACCAAGATTCTTGGTGGCGTAATCTTATCGATGTCAAGTATCCTCGATCTTCTTCCGAATGGAGGGCTGGGAATGGCGAAGGTTCGATTGGTTGCTCAATTTGGAGATGCATTATGAAGGAAGAAAATATGTTTTGGAAGTTTGCTTCTGTTAACCCGGGTGGTGGGGCTTGGGTGTCTTTTTGGAATGACTGCTGGATCCCGGGGAAGATGCTGAAAGATTCCTATCCTAGGGTTGCGGATGCATCCTCAAACCGTGATGCTTGGGTGTCTGATCACATATCCTTTAATAATGAGCGTGTGGTGTGGGATTTTCCTTTAATGTACTCTCTAAGGGGTGGGGCTTATCGTGAGAGGAATGATCTCTTGAATTTTTTTAATCTCTTTTACCCTATGATTTGATTAATGCGGGTCCGGCCAAGCTGATTTGGGACCTCATTCCAAAGGATGGTTTTTCGGTGAACTCCATGTATCGTACCCTGATTCATGATAGAATGGAGGGCCTTGACAATTTTTCGTTCAAAGTGGTGTGGCAACCGCACGTTCTGTCTAAGGTGAATGCGTTTCTTTGGTTGATCATGCACATACGCATTCTGACTCATGAAAATTTGAAGAGAAGAGGTTGGTTCCTTGCGAGCAGATGTGTCCTTTGCGAAGAGGCTGAAGAAAGCACCAACCATCTCCTCTGTCAATGCAGGTACAACAGTAGTATCTGGTGCCTCCTCCAGCATATGATTGGTTTCCTGGGACCTTTCCCCGACTGCTTTGCTTCTATTATCCGCTGCTGGTCGATCTCCTCGCAGTAAGCTCCCCTGGATGAGTTCCTTGGCGGCGTGTATCCTGCACGGCTTTGCCTGGGAGCTTTGGAAGGAAAGGAACAACATAAGCTTCCTTGATAAAATATGTGGGTGGCAGGTGGTTTTTCATAAGATTTGCAGGACTTTACTAAGCTGGTGAGAGTGACGGGCACTCTAAGTGACTCGCAGAGCGCCGAGTGGTTGTCTCTGATGCATATTTTGTGCCCTCTGCAGAACCGGAGTAACTCTCGTATGGACGCGACCTCTTCTTCTCCTTCCTCGGCAACATCGTGATTCCTCCCGGTCTATAGTTTGTTGTTCCTTTGTTTCCTTCTGTTTACTGTTGTTGGGGCGGCCTGGCCCCTTCGCAGGTTTTTTGTCTTTTTCTTTGCCGGATCTTTTCTCTTGATCCGTCTGTATTAAACTTTCTTGTTTGTGGTCTTTTTAATGCATCAATCGCCATTATCAAAAAAATGACACACCAGTTCACGACCTTATTTTTAGAGGTTTAATACCAATTAGACAAATAAAGTGTGAACCCTTGCTACACCGATTCATACACCGGTTCGATTATGATAACATTGCTTTTTTACTGTTATTTGTTAACCAGCTCAGCGGGACATTCTCTGTCTGCTACTATAAGCTCTATGAGAATGAGAAGGAAGGAGATGACACTTTTCTTACTTTCAAAATTTCCCAATGCAAAGTGCAAACTGTTGTTAGCCAGCATGTACAAAGGAAGAACCGGGGGCAATACTATATTAATAATTGTTTAATTGAACTAATCAATATAATCGGCCCATTTTTTTAATTATGATTACGTAAAAGATGGAAAGGCGGAAAGAAGAAAGTCGAGAGCAATTGCATTTGCATGCGTATAGCTAGGATGCATCGTCGCCAGCCATGAAGAGCAAGAAGTTGAATTATTGGCCGCCACAAAACTATAATTTGCGGTGGCAGCAGCAGCAGCCTATTTACACTCCTTTCTAACTTTCCCTCTCCTTTGTTAACTACAAGTCTCTTTCAGAGCTTTGCTTGTTATGTCTTAATTTGTCCAAGCTCAAAAGATGTAATAAAGCATGCCATTGTTAATCATAGAAACTCTATGCAATGTCTCTTCACCTAATTGCAAAGCTAAAGTGGAGGTTGAATATTCACATGATTCTTCCCTAACCAATTAAACCTTGCATGTCTTGGTTTGAATTCCTTTCCCTACCAAAAGTATCTTGTGAAATTCCGGCTACTGAAGATACTCAAATATTGCAAATAACATCCCGCTCGTGAAATAGAGAAAATAATTAAAGATATCAATTATTTATTGTGTAAATTTGAGGGGTCAGATATTGTGCTAACAGGTTAACACCATGCTAATTACGAGTGGTAGTAGTGTGTATAGGTCTATTGGAGTTGTAGTACTACAAGTGCAAAAAAAAAAAAAAAAAAAAAAAGACTACAACTATTATTGTATTATACAACTCATGGTTAAGCATGATACAAACCCCTTATGGTTAGCATGCTAACCCATCTCGTGAATTCTACCAAAACCTTAATTACTTTGAATTTAGGGATGTCAACAACGTCCGAGTGAGATATGTTTTCGTATATACCATCTTCGAATCACAATTTTAAAATCGTAACAATCCACGTAATCAAAATTGTGCAGGCATGTAATAAGTCATACTAAAATCAACCAGTATGCTGTTCAAGGAAAACTCACCCTCACGATCACCAAACAATCATGTTTCTAGTTTTTAATATAATCTAAAAAAGATGAGTAGATGATGAGTTACTTTGTCATCCCTATTTAAATAACGTACCCTCCTAGTTGGCGTCTTATTATTTACTGTCCAACTATCAATTGTCATTTCCAATTTGAATGAAACAAAAGGGAAGTGGACTATGAAATAATACTCTTTGTTTTTGCCTTTTGATTAAAGGGCGAGTGTTATCTAGAAGGGAGGAGGGGCTTTTTCATGATGAACAGCGGGCCTATATATATATATATATATATATTGATCCATAGCTGTACACAAATACAAGCACAGGTGAGGTACGTACTAGTGATCGTGTAGTATTCTATATAAGGGAAAAAGGGGAGCCAAAGGGTTTGAATTATTATCATAAGGCCATGTTTTTTTATGGCAATCAAATGGAGTGCCCAAAAGATAGCTTGGCATGAAAGAAATGGAACTTTTCATAAAGCTAATTAAGCTCTCTCTGTCTGCTTTTTGCTTGGTACCCACCCAACCCACTTACCTGCTCCAAGCAGCAAACTTCCAAGCTCATGGTTTTTTGGCTGCAATCTGGCAACCACAGAAAGCAGGGGGTTCAATTACATTACAGTCCATAAACTTCAATAACCACAGAAAGCACAAAGCAGGGTCAATTACATTACAGTCCATAAACTCTATCGTGTTAAATCACCCATGTTAGAGAGCAGCATAACATTCTCTCAACAATTCGAATTATTGAGACCAACTGGTTTATGACAACCCAAGTTAATAATGAAAATTGAGATCTTCTTACCATGTAGCAGGTATGTGGGGAAGGGATTGGTGCGATTTTGGGTGATATGACTCAATCAGCATTGATGGGTTGAGCGATCGGTTTGACTAAATAGGATTGGACAGTCGCTAAAATTTGTATTCCGTATAAGCTAATTTAGGATCTAACTAACATTTTCTAGCATTGATTTGGAGTGGAGATGCTACTGCTATTTGATTTGGACAAAATACCCGACGGAGATAGATGAATTTTTTTTGCTATAATATCATTTATCTTAAATCTCGGTAATAAGTCTTAAGATAAATGAAAGCTAAAAACACCAATTTGATAGTGATCAAGAACTCTAATGACCATTTATGCAATTGCCTCCAAGAAGCAGCAGCCACATTGATATTTGTTCTCAAGTACCACAAGGACACAAATGGACAATGAACTGGACATGCCATTTCTTTTGGACGAAGGAATGGTACTGTGACCTTTTTTATTGGCAGAGGGAGCAGTTTCCACGAAGGCCCAATTAGAGCATGACAACTAAGAACCATGTGCAAGATGAAAGTCAGAAAGTAAATTAAAGAGTGGTTAATTATTAATTATTATTTTAATCATCCAAATCAACACCTGTACCTTGTGGATTATTGATTGATTTTTTTTCTTTGTTGGCCATCTCTAGCTAGATATAATGTATTAATTAGATGGGATAGGAGGTCAATTATTTGTGGGCTCATGCATAAGAAGAGTGTAAAAATTTGATATTATGTGTGGTTATTGTGCTACCAAATGGAGACCATAGAATCAAAGTGAAGCAGGGCGGGGGGAAAAATCAACAAAAACTAAAAAGTTGAAAGGGAAATGAGATTTTATTTTCTTTGTTTCTTAAGTAAAGGATGCAGAACGACCAATTCAGTTGTCATTTTATGTTTATGCATGGTCCCCCAGGCTCCCAGCCCCAGGAAGGAAGATTCAAATTATGACTTGTTAGTTGTGAGTACCTAATTTTAATTTTGCCAAAGATTTTTTCCCTACTCGCGTTATCGTTAAGACTCGAGTTCAAATAAGTTTATAAACAAAAAGGTTAATTGGTCGGTAGGAAAATAATTGGTAAAGTAAATAAGTAAAATCAATTTTCTGTTAGGATTAAGATACAAATAGTTAGTAAAATACGGTACTGGAAAGTTACGTATAAAATACGTACAGGAAAGTTATGTATAAAATACGTACGAGTATTATACTTCGTCTCTTAGCTAATGTCACGTTTAATAGTACGTTAATAGTCATAAATATATAAAATTAATTATTTTTATAAATAAATAAATATGTAAAAATAGTAAAGTTAATAATTTATTTCATTAAATACGGATATTAAACGTGTTATACGATTTTTATACGGGTTTAGTACGGGAGCCATCAAATGAACGGAAACTAATGAAACGGCTTGATAATAATACAGATACGGAAGTTTTAAACGGATAGAGTACGTATGGGTACATATACGTGTATTAAACAGAGTATTTACTAATTATAATACAAGCAGGGTGGAGGCAGCCTTAAACTTATATATAAAACAACAATTTAGAAAAATAAATTGCAATAAAGTAAAACCTTCCTATAATTGTTTATTCCAAATTATCAATCCCTAATTCATTGTTGACTTCTTCTCCCTCAAACCAAAATCTGTTGACAAACCAACGTAGGTTCAATGAACAACTTGAAGAGCACACAACGGAGTCGAACGAGTGATGAACGTTTAATATTTTCTTTGTAGGATATGACGAGAGTAATATTCTAGATAGATTTGGATTAATTAATGTTACAAAATTTTCAAAATGTGAAAATAGGTTGTTATTCATTAAAACACTAATAAAGTCCATTTTATATATTTTTACCCAAATCTACCGTGAACGAAATCCTAGTCATGATCCTAGATACAATAAGATTTCTGAATAGCTATTTACAGCACGTCCATTTACTATTTGCCGCCCATCTATTTACGAAAATAGACAAATTTACCCTTATGTTTAAAACCCTAATACTAACAAAACCCTACCCTAACCCTACCAAAACCCGCTCCCCGCCGCTCTCTGCCTCCTCCGGGACTGAAGCTGCTCCTGCTAGTCAGAAGTGGAGCTCGTCGGAAACAGAGATCGACGCCGGAGAGAAGAAATGCGAAGCTAGTCCGCCCCTCCCATACCCTGTTGCTCCTGAAGGCCACGTCGCTCTCTGCTGCTATTATTACCAAAAGTAAATTAAGGATGATGGGAAGTCGAGAGAAAGGATCCAGTGACTGGGGTGCTTAGTCACTTGACTAAGCCCCTCCCAGCCATTAGATATGGATATAGCAATCTGATGGTTAAAAAGTGGGAAGAGCTATTTAATTAATGACAGAGGTAGTTTGGTTATTACGAAAAATTACGAAGTATAAAAACTGGACTTACAATCAGTACAAACCATACAAACATACGAACAGTACAAACTAGAGTGTCAAAATATACAAATAGATTTACAAACATTACAAACATATGAACTGTACAAAAAATACAAATTAGACCGACAAACAATACAAACCATACAAAAAGAAAAAAACA